CTCAGAAGCCCCCAGGCTCCACATCACAGAGGTCTCTGCCTCAGTCTGCCGCGTAGCTCGCTGCACCTGTCCTGGCCAGGTGCCCAGCCCAGAAGGCAGCCGACTTCCTCTGCCCTGAGGTCTACACCACAGCCTGGGCACACATGGAAGCCAGGTGAGCCATCACCCGGAAATCAGCCATCCCACCTAGCGGGAGGCTGCTTCCGTCACTGGGGCCTTTGGGCTTGGTTGGGTAGGCACGCGTAGATACGCGTCTAACCACTACCGCCACCACCCCCTGCCTCCCCAGTCCTCCCAGTCTGCCACCATGGGCAGAGAGAAGGGAAGTCACACCCACCAGCCATAGACCACTATCATTTCCCTACCCTGGCCAGGGTGAGAGAAGGACATCAACTCTCCCCCCACTGAGAGGAGTGTTCAAAATCTTTAGGTTCCTAAGGGTATCTGCAATACAGCGACATACCCATATGTAAATGCTATGGATGTGTTGGTTTATAAATACCGATAAAGCAGTGCACGTATGTTTGAAATATCCCAAAAAACCAAACCAAACCCATTGCCGTTGACTCAATTCCGACTCATAGCCACCCTATATCCCATAATCTAAAAATAATTTTCAAAAACAGGACTATATCAAGAGGTAGAGTTGGTGTTATTTCCTGGGGTAAATAGGCTCCAGGGAACACAGATGAGACCTAGGACTCATCACATCCATTCTATCATTTGACAAATATTGACAGGCACCTACTGTGTGCCAGAAATGCCCAGACATGCTGGGGCAGGGATGGACAAACAGACACCATCACAGAAAAGCCAGGGAGACGTAACCAGCTAAAAAGGAAACCTTCTGAACTGCTCCCCAAATATTTAAAACAAAAAAAATTGGAAAAAATATTTTCAGTATATGATGAGAGGTCTTATACCCCAGCCTGTGGTCCTGAGAATGGGTAGTAGCTATTTCACGACCACCAGCAATCTGGGAGACTTTCGTTTAGTCCACAAATATTTATTAGTGTCTAGAATATGCCAGGCACTGTGCTGGGCACTAGGGATATATCAAGAAGCCATAAAATCCCAGCTGATTTGATGACAAAACTGATCAAAATCCCAGCCCTCACAGAGCTCACATTTTAGTCAAGGGAGGTGGGGCAGGAGAATTCAGACTGCTCAGGGTACCTAAAATCCCATTATATTGTTTGTGCTTGGAACTCAGCGCGACACACAACATCCTGCTTATCTAGTCTCTGACCAAGAGAAAAATAAATATTGCTTAATAAGCAATTTACTTTACACACAAAGTTCAAAGGTCATGGGTAGTTGACTGGTGAGTAGAAAATAAACGTTAAGAAAGTGGAAAATGATTGATCGAATGGTTTAGAGGACAAGGGTGGTTGTTTTTTTAACCTTCACTGCAAAATCTTTCATTTATTTATTGTGCCTTAGGTGAAAGTTTGCAAAGCAAATTAGTTTCTCATTAAACAATTAATACACATATTGTTTAGTGACATTGGTTGTCAACCCCACAACCTGTCAACACTCCCCATTCTCAACCTTGGGTTCCCCATTTCCATTTGTCCAGCTTTCTGTCCCTTCCTGCCTTCTCACCCTTGCCCCTGGGCTGGTGTGCCCATTTAGTCCCGTTTTGTTTTATGGGCCTGTCTGATCTTTGGCTGAAGGGTGAACCTCACGAGTGACTTCAGTACTGAGTTCAAAGGGTGTCTGAGGGCCAAGAGTTGGGGTTTTTTTTTTTGTATTTTTGTTCGTTTTGCTGTTGTTTGTTTGTTTTGTTTTTTTAATGCGCCTTGAGCACAGGTCAGAGCAGGCTGGGTGACCGACAGGCTTAGTGGCCTTTAGGGAAAAGCCATTCTCCTTGCTTGGCCACGGTCTGGCCCCAGCAAGTCAGTCAACAGCATGGCCTGAGAACCCTGGCATTCGGGTGGAGTCTGCATTAGAAAGAGGGGCAGCAGAGGCCTGTAGCCCTGCGGCTGTACAACAACCCCCAAATCCTGTATCCACTCCGTACTAGCCTATGACCCTGGAGAAGTTAGCTAACCTCTCTGGGGCTAGGTTTTGCCCGCTGTGAATGGGGAGTGCCTGCCCTAATAAGGGTCTCTGGAAAGAGAGAATGTACACCAAGCGTTTAGCTTTATGGCACATAAGTGGTCAGGAAATGGGAATTATTTCTACCTCCGAGAGACCCCAGGCAGCCTGGGGCCAACCCCATTCTCTGTCTGTTTTTCTCTTTGGCCTTTAGGCTCATAAGGGACTCGGTGCATCATTTACAGACCCTGACGCAATCCGGGGCCAACCGGCACGAGGCGTGGAACCAGACCACTGTCCTACACGTCCAGGCTGCTAAGGTGAGCTGCCGGTCTCTGCAGCTGAAAGGATCCACTTTGTTTTCCCAGCAGGCTACCCGGCTGAGCAAACCCAGCTCTGCCATTATTCCCCAGGCCTGCTCAGTGGTTGCCCTCATTTTCCTTCTAAGGCTTTAGTCCGGGGTATTTTAATTAAAGGACTTAACTCCAAAGCAATCTTGCCGGCGGCTCTTAGGGGAAAAGGTAATGAGGCGGTGTTATTGGATTTGCTTCAGGTTGTTCAAATATTTCCTCCCGGACAGAAAAGCAGGTCAAATCTCCCCTTAGCCCCACAGGCAATTCCTGGATGTCCGATTCCATTTCCACTCTGTTTTGTGATTGTGCAGCATTCACACATTCAGTCAGCAAATATCTGAGCGCTCACTCGGCACCAGGTACAGGGCTGGGTCCAGTGAGTCCACCACCCATACACAGCTACAGTCGAGGAAGCGCTATGACAGGGGAACGGGCTGCTCTGGGATCCCAGGTCCGACCCGCACTCGCTCACGGGAGCAGGCAGCATTGTGTTCCGTTGCGCACGGAGCCGCCAAGAGCCCCGGGGCGGACTGACAGCAGCTCACAACAACGTGGGGGCCCAGAGCAGCAGCATCTCACCCACCTTGGTTAGTCAGAAACGACAGCTGAGACTTCAGGAATGAGCCGAAGTTAGCCAGGGCAAAGGATGGGGACTGAGGCTGCGGAGGAGAAGCTTCCAGGCGACGAGAACGGCAGGTGCAAAGGCAAGAGGAAGGAAAACGTGGTGCCCGCGAGGAAATGTGAGTCCCCCCAAGGAAGAGCTGAAGGGGGGTGACTGAAACAAGCAGAGGGAGGGAAGGCAGGGGAGCGGGGAGAGGAGAGCTCCGCGCCCTGGGGCCCTCCGCGCCGCTGAGAAGTTTGGGTTTGGATTTCACTGCACTGGGATGTCTTTACAGCGTTTACAGCAGGGGCGTAAAATGATCCGATTTTCATTGCAGAAAGACCATGCAGGCTGCCGGGGAAGGAATGGGCTGGAGGCCGGTTAGGGGGAGGCTGGGGGTGGCCCCACCCGTGGGCATGGAGAGAAGGGGGCAGATGCAGCGGAATCGGAGAGTAAGCGGGTAGATGCGAGGTGACAATGACTCCCGAGCTCCAGCTTGGGCAGCTGGGACTCCAAGGTGATCACCCAACTGTCAGTCCTGAGGCCCAGGAAATGGCGGCCGCGGGCCAGGAGAGCGCTGAAGGGCTCCTTCAGAGGGGCCATCGCAGGGCGGGGCTGGCCCGCAGGCTGGGCAGGAGCGCCACCTGGTGGCCCGGCACCACCAGCACACCCACTGCTGCTGGCGTTGACTCTGCAGCCTTGGGCTCTGCTCGGTCCACGGCTCCCTCTCCTTTAGATGTTCTATCAGTGCAGGGAGGGTTAGCCAAGGCTGCGCTCTCCCCAAAAAGAAACACAGTCCCCCATTATTCAGCCGTTTTCCAAACCTGTGCCTGCCTACAAATGGACCAGACACTGCTTGCCAGCATTACTTCAGTTAATACGCACAGCCCTGGGAGAGACGAGCATACTCTGCTTCAAGGGCAAGGGAACAGCTCCCCAGAGATAAACCCCAGACCTAGGAAACAGCTGAATCGGACACTTTCTATTCCGAGGCAAGCCCAGGCCTCAGGGAACCACAATGTGACAGGTGCCAGGAACCCCAGGCTCTGGGGGGGACCAACTGCAGGAAGCTCAGCCAGCCTGGGGGAGAAGGGCAAGTCCCTGACAGTCCTGGGGAGGTGCTGCCCAAGCTGAGTCTCCAAGGTCCTAATGGACGGGTAATTCTCTACTTTTTGTGCTTTGGGGAGTCACTTGCTCTGCGGAAGTAAGCACCCAACCAGGTCTCACCTGGAGCCATAAATGTGTAGGTAGAGTGGCCACAACTCAGATGGGGGAGGCAGAGGGGTGGACAAAAAGGAGCCCTGGGCTAAGCTCTGGTCCCAGCTCTGTGTGTGACATGCTGTGACCTCAGGCAGCCCCTTCTCTTCTCTGGGCTTTAACTTCCCTGTCTGTAAAACGAAGGGGCATGGAAGGGCCTCCCAGACACTGCCCAGGAGAGCTGTCAGTCGCTAGGACCACCGCAGCCATGCTGGGTACTCAATAGAATCCAGCCTCAAATAGGCTCTGGCGGGTTTGGCTGGTTTGCCCTGGTTTGGATCTTGGCACCACCACTCACTAGTGACTTTGGGCAAGGAACTTAATCTCTCAGGGCCTCAGTCTCTTCATCTCCAAGATGGGACTAATAATAATACCTACCTTGTAGGATCATTATGAAAAACCCATTGCCGTCAAGTCAATTACGATTCATAGTGACCCTATCCGACAGAGTAGAACTGCCCCACAGGGTTTCCAAGGAGCAGCTGGTGGATTTGAACTGCCGACCTTTTGATGAGCAGCTGAGCTCTTAACCACTGCGCCACCAGGGCTCCAATTTCATTATGAAGATTAACTGACGTAACACATGTACAATGCTTAGAGACACACCTAGCACATAAGTGCACAACGTAAGTTTGTTAAGGAAAACACAAATGAGGAGCCAGCAAACCAAGCTGGTAAGCGGCTCTTCACTGACCCGAAGCCCCGCTGGTCCCGCCAGCACCGCCCTGAACTAGGCGGGAGGCAAGAGTTAAACGGAGACGCACACACAAAAGCAAATGCCAGTTTTCCCCGGAAGTCCCTTGTCCTCAGTGTGGTGCCGGGGCCTGGCTCAGCCTTTACCCGAAACACAGAGCCATCTTCTTCCTCCGACCCTCACCCCACCTTCGTGCTCCGACCCTCACCCCACCTTTTTCCTCCGACCCTCACCCCAACTTCTTCCTCCGACCCTCACCCCACCTTCTTCCTCTGACCCTCACCCCACCTTCTCCCTCTGACCCTCAGCCCGCTTTCCAAGGCAGGAGAGGCCGGGACCCTCAGGCAGCTCTTCATCCCTCCACTCCTCAGCCCAGGCGCTGAGACTTCGGGGATGTGGCCCTCACGTGAGCAGAGGGAAGCAGGGCGTCGGTGAAAGAAGTGAGGCGTGCCAGTTTGGCGCACCGAGGGCTGTTTGATCCCGCTGGGGCAGCAGACCACAACCTGCCCCTTCCACGGGCAAATGTGAGCCCGGCACGGCTGTGAGCGCACGGCTGGCTCTTGGTGACAGCAGTGGTGTTAGCCCCGTGTGCAAGGCCTCCTGGGAAAAGCAGATTCTTTCCAAGCAAGAAACCTGATCAGGTCACTGCCCTGTTGAAAAAACTCAGAGACGCCCTGACCCCCACAGAATAAAACCCGACCGCGTCATTCAAGGCCCTCCATTGATCTGGGCCCCCGCCACCCTTCCACTCCAGCTCCCACGGTTTCCCCAGTGCTTCGGCCTCATTAAATTGCTTGCAGCTTCCTGAAAGTACCGTCCTTTGCACAATTCGCTTGCCTGGAATGACCTTTTCCCCATTGCTTGTCCCCCTGGGTGAACGCCTTTGAATCCCCATGACACTCAGCCTGGCTACCTAGTCGCTGCCAGTGGCATGGCTGCGCCGGAGAGCTTGTTAGAATGCACAGTCTCAGGCCTCGCCCCGGAACCGGCCCTCAGATAAGATCCCCAGGCCATCTGTGGGCATGTAAGAACTGGAGAGGCACAGCTTTGTATCCCCCGTTCCTGTCTCCTTCACGGAACTCTTACATCCCACCTGATAGAATAACGGTGTGTGCTCATTTTAGGTGGGAGGAGAGGGATACTCAAAACCTTCAACCACCAGGGGGCAGGGCACCGACCCGTCAGAAAGGACGCAGGGTCCTGCTGGGCGGTGGGGAGATGAAGGGCCCGCGGAGGCATCCAGATGGCAGAGAGCCTCTCGCCTGCTTCACCCTGTTGTTGGATGCCGTCGAGTCAATCCCAACACATAAGGACCCCGTGCCCAGGCACTATTCTACCAACCGGCGGAGCCGCCGCGCGTGGGCGAAATCCAACATTGCTTACTTCAAGGAGTTTACGCCCTGGCTGGGGTAAAGTTTGTCTGCATCTTGAACCCCTACCTTCTCACCTCGACACACACACACTCACACACACCATATCACATACGTCACACACACACATCACATTACATCATACATCACACACACATCACATCACACATCACACCCATACACACATCACATACGTCACACACACACATCACATTACATCATACATCACACACACATCACATCATACATCACACCCATACACACATCACATACATCACACACACATCACATACATCACACACACATCACATACATCACACACATCACGTACATCACACACACATCACATCACATACATCTCACATACCACATCACATACATTACATGCACACACACATCACATACATCACACACACCACATCACATACATCACACACACATCGCATCACATACATCACACACACCCATCACATACAGCACACAGACACATATCACATACATCACGCACATCACACACATACACACATCACATACATCACACATCACATATATCACACACACATCACATACATCACACACACGTCACATATATCACACACATCACATCACATATATCACACACACATCACATCACATACATCACACACACACACATCACATACGTCACACACACATCACATACATCACACACACACCACATCACATACATCACACACACCCATCACATACATCACACACACACCACCATCACATACATCACACACA